TCGTCAAAATTTTCAGGTTTGAGTTATGAGTGGATATATCCGTTTTGGAGCCTCTGGACCCCAAAAAAGTTAAAAAAATTATAAAAGTGGGTTTTGAAGTAGGCGTGTGGATGTGTAGTTAATAAAAACAAGCCCATGGGGCGTAGCCCAAAGGAAATATGAAAATTAAACGATATAATATTATATTGTCATTTGTGAGCTATTTTTCAAGTCTAGCTAATCGGAAAATTAGTATAAAATTGATTACAAAATTTGTACAAATCAAGCCCATGGGGCGTAGCCAAAGGGAAATAAGAAAATTAAATTATATAATATTGCATTGTCTTCTATTTGTGAGCGATGTTTCAAATTTCAAGTCTCTATAGCTCATCGGGAACTTAGTATTAAATTGATTGCAAAATTTGAACCGGACAAGAAAACAAGCTAATAAAAACTTTTACCTACGACCGTTTTTTAAAGTAGCCATTTCAGTCCAGTTCTTAGAATTGAAAAGTTTCACTTTACAGCTGTTTACTTTCATATCCGCATAGTTTCATTTCATATCCGCATAGTTTTTCTCATATCCACACAGGTAACGTACCAATGAGGTTCAAGTATTGAGAGAAAAGAATTAAAATTGTAATGCTTCGAACGTCAACTAATCAGTTGATCAGCTGATCAGTTGACCAATTTAATTGTTGATCCGACTTGTTCATGTTGATACTCGCGTATTCTTAATTAAGTTGGTGGAAGTCCAAAAATAAATGAAATATTTGCCGAATTGTACCTGATACAATATTATTTATGGTAAGAATGCTGCTAGCAATGTAATATTTAACGAAGTTTAACAAACACGTAATTACAGAAAATCAGCTGATTATACAACAAGTCGTTGCATCACTTTCAGTGGCAATGACAATACACGAAAACATAACCTCTCTAAAAAGTTATCATTAGTGATTGTTAGTAATTAAATCCAGATTGATAGTAATTAAAAAACGGTCGTAGGTAAAGTAGTGTACGCAACTCGCGTTAATAGTCTTTACGACACTCGTAGAAGTTTTTAAAAACCTTAAATTTTCTACTCGTGTCGTAAAGACTCACTTAACGCAATCGTTGCGTAAACTACTATTAATTGTTAAAAAAGATAGTGTATTCGACAGAAATCAGTAATTTAAATTTAGCACAATCTCTCGGTGGCTCACATCAACTACGACAATCATGTTTTAAACCTAACTACTACAGGTAGCTTCTGCCTTATTCTACCCCATTTTACAACTAATAATCGTAATATTTCAGCTATTTCTTATTCGATTTTTTTGAACTTAGTATCGTTTGATAGGGAATTTAAAATGCTAAATAAAAGTGTACTTGGCATTTTTTCATAAAATTAGCAGTTTTTGAGTAATTTTAGTTTAAAATGTAAAATGGCTGCCATTTTGAAATTTAATGTTGGATCGAGGTTAACTTTTTTTCTAACATGGATCCCTTCTACCTTTTTCTCTGTGATGTACTGTATACTCTTATTGCAAGATTTTCGTTCACGATGTAGATCGCATTATATTGCCTTATGTAGATCGCATGTAACTGGTCCGATAGAAATTGTAACAGCTATTTACAATTCCAATTAATTGCACTCTATAGAATTTAGGCAACACTGTATATTTTTATGCCACCTATCTACTCTTTATAATAATTCAGCTTTAAAAATCTTTGTACAAATAAATCTACAGTTCTACTGGACCAATTTCATTAATAAATGGGTCATTGGAAATTTACTCCCTGTAAATTTGCAAATAAACTATAAAAATTTGTGTTAGAAAAATTAAATAAAAATATATTTTCTATAAGAAATGCATTGCAAAGTTTCTATTTGTAGCCAAGCTTAGGCTAGCTGTATTGAGTATTTTCAAGAAATGCATTCTAGTAATCTAAAGTGATTTTCTTTGTCAGTGCGTCTTTGTAAGTGTCCTTATTACTTCACCAATAAATGAGGTGTCATTTTAAAGCCTTATTTACCCAATGCACCGGAAAAATATACAAAGCACTCATTTCGAGGTATTTTTTTTTGTAAAAAAATAATTATATCATTCTGCAAGTAGTAAAACTTGAAATGTTTATTTACGTTATTCGATCATCTGAAACATGTGAATTAAATTAATCAAAACAAACGAATATTTGTTTCTAAAAATAATCTGAGTGATTTGTTTTTACTTCATCCAAGACGACCATCACCGATGACGAACTTAGTCTGTGCTTTCTTCGATAAATAACCCTGGAGATGAAATCACATTATTCACTTTAAAGAAGTCTAAACAAGAACAACTCAAAAGTAACGCATGGATACTTTAGCTTTTATATTTCTTTATTAAGGACATAGCCTTTCTTTTGACATACCTAACCCATTCTATGTATATTCATGAATACCATCTTTAAACATCACCTCTTATCATTATTACAGGTTTTATAAATGGTTATGTTGTGTCGAATTTGATACCGACAGGAAACTGTATATCAATTATATGTACGGTTATATTAATTTTGATTCGGTTCTTTACCAAGGAACATAGAACGCTCTGTTGTACCATTAGAGATTTAACCTCATTAAGCCATTTAGGTTCGTTCCCTCATAAACTCAAATGCTAAATACCCCCGCCGCAGCAAACCTGCAGACTAAGCGAATTTCCATTTCCCTAAATGGATTTACACTAAAATGTCTCCTTAAAAATATCACATTTATTCCCTATTTAAATAGAATCAGTTTAAAACATACTTAGGTTTGCTGCAACAGGGAGGGTAAAAGTGTTTTTTTATGTAAAATGTTAATAGTTAGTAAGAAATAAAAACATTTTCCAAATTTGGGCAAAATATGTTTATAAACAAGCAAACTACAACAGTTTACTTATTCTCCATAAGAATAACATGGGAATTTTAAATTTACAATTTTTTGGAATTTTCTCCGTAACCATTAGGCGCATTATAACGCTTCAATATACTAAATTATTTGTTTTTTTAAGCTCTACAAAATAGTTTCGAAAGAAATTGCAAAATTTTATGTTTTTTGGGTCAAAAATGGGAAAAACCCATTTTTACCCCATAAAAGCCCCCATAAACCCCCGTTCCCATGGTCCGATCATGCTGGTTCGCGAACTCGTTCGAATAAACGTAGGTTTACACGTTTGTACCAAATTTCATCAAAATCGGATCATTTTTGCTCGAGTTATCGCGCTAACGGACACATATATCTAATATATAAAATTCTCGTGTCACAGTGTTTGTCTGCAAACTCCTCCGGAACGACTTCACCGATCGTTATGAAATTTGGTGTGTAATTTCTGTAGGTATGCGAATCGGACGTAAACTATTTCCCGTTTCGAAATTCTTAAAAGGGCTCCGCCCCAGTGGCTCTGGAGTTTCCCATGTTAACCTTATGAGAAATGGAATTAATGAATCTTAACAGCTGTTTCAATTAAACAAGTTGGTTCTGTTATATGATGTTCAATAGCATTAAAGTTACAAGGATTACCAACAGGGTGCAGCACTATTATTTCTTTTACATTTATGACAACAGCTAATTTGCAACCAAAAGGTGAGTGAGCGTAGCGAACGAACTTCAACCTGGAGGCGAGTTAGCGTAGCGAACGAGCTAACCTGAAGGCAAGTGAGCGCAGCGAACGAGCTCCAACCTAAAGGTGAGTGAGCGTAGCGAACGAGCTCCAACCCAAAGGTGAGTGAGCGTAGCGAACGAACTTCAACCAGGACGTGATTGAGCGATGCGAACGAGAGAGGCGAGTGAGCGTAGCGAACGAGCTAACCTGAAGGCAAGTGAGCGCAGCGAACGAGCTCCAACCTAAAGGTGAGTGAGCGTAGCGAACGAGCTCCAACCCAAAGGTGAGTGAGCGTAGCGAACGAACTTCAACCAGGACGTGATTGAGCGATGCGAACGAGATCATCTTGAAAATTAAACGTAACGGTACTTTCTTTCCATCGGTCTGTCTTAGGGGAAACCTATAACTTTGGCGATACGAAGTTCGCCGGGTCAGCTAGTATATATATATATATATAAATATATATATATAAAAATATATATATATATATGAATTTGAACAGATGGTGTTTTTGACCTCTAGGGACCTCAAAACGAAAAAAAAAATCGGTCCCGGGTCCAGGTCTTACCGTGAGTACTACGGTAATAGCTTATTCCCTATATGGGAAATTCGCTAAAAGAACTCTATTATGATAATAGTATCATGTTGACGAGAAACATAAGCAGGATTAAAGATTGGCTCGCTTGGGCACCTAAACTATCAAAGCCAAGTTGGCTGACTCCCAAACTGTCATACTACGCAACAAATGTCCGTAATCCTTTCAAACTGACTAAGAAGGAATTTCCCTAAAAGTTACCTTTGCCACTACTTTAAATAAGACACATGGATAGACACAAACGAAGGAAGGATTGTACATGCAAGACCCCGTTTCTTTTTACACATTCAGTTGTTTGTGACTTTGTCAAGGGTGCACTTTTTCAGTGAAACTATGTCTGTGTAAAAACAAAGCCATCAAAACAAAAATCGATATGACCATATTATTACTTGAACCTATGACAGCAGTTAATTTGAACTAAGCAGCAACAAAAAGCTGTGATACCCATTGAGAACTGTCAAAAGTAGGATTGTTTACAGTTATGTTTATGGTTTTAATTTAATGAATAATTTGTGATACTGTGTGAATGTTTCATAGTTTTTTTCTATTGTTTAGGCAGTTGTAGAACATTATGGCTATGGCAGATGTGTTATACTATAGCAAACCGTAAATTTAAAGAACTACATGTTATAAAAACTGTGTCCTCCCTCATTGCAAATGCAAAGCTTTAGTATAACTGCAATAAGCATTTTATACTTATATGCCAACCCCGTACGAAGGATAGGTACTCTGATATTTAAATTATAAAGGTAAAAGACAAAAAACAATTTTATTTTTAATGTTTATTTTACAATAGTTTCTTTAAAAAAAATGATGAAACAAGTACTGTTTTACATTGGTAACATTAACATTATTTATATCACTTTAAATAACATCAGTCATGATAATGTACAATATATATATAATTAAAATTGAATCCTAAAATTAGACTCGTTTAAAAAATGTACGGTTTACAAGAGACAATACTGATTTGGCAAAAGAAGAGCAGCTTTCCAACATGTTTTTACTGCTAACATTAGGATCACAGATAAATATTTTTTAAAAACCTTAAAGAACACTTTGCCAGCTTCAGCAACAAGCTGCAGCATTGTTTCCAGTTCCCAACAAACAATTTTTTACAGGCTGAATGGAAATAAATTATTTGTCACAGATCTTTAAAATCATTTAGGAAAACATACATATTTTCAATTTGGTATAACTGTAGCAGATTTTAATCACATTAATTATTTTAAAAGATGAACATTTTATGCTCTAAACAACACGGTAAATTTTTGACGTTAGTTGTTAAACAAATACTGAATAAAAGCACTTTCGCATTTAAAATATCTTGCAAAAAATATGAGATGACAAAGGTACTAAAAGTCTTTTTTCTTAAGCAAGGTAACCCTGCTCTATCAAAGCTTCATCAACGTCATCACCAGTGAGCAAATCTTATTCAGGATTACTAATACCTAAACATATAAAAGAAATTAGCAAAATATATTTAATTTCTATGTACAAGGGCTATTCAAAGAGTAAGGAAAGTTTCTATCTAAGGCCGCTAGACGTGTGGCAATTGCTCTCTTTCAAGTTCAAACATGTTCGCCTTCTCGCTGACTTTTCAACCATCATAGCGCCCATTGTTGCAATATTTAAGTAAATTGTGCTGCAATAATTGTACCTCAGACACTAGTCGTGAGATGCGAACTGTACTATGGTTTTTGTTGGCCAAAATTTAAAACCTACTGCTTGTCGTCAAGTGGTCGAGATCACAGAGGCCAGAATTTTTTTTAGAAAGGAATTTCAAAGCTTGTCTACCATTTAAAGTGCCTCTATTTGTTTCTTCTAGAGTAGAACCTCTTTAATCCGAACTCCCTTCATCCGAACGTCCACTAATCGGAACGCCTCATTGCTGTACCCTATACACAGTACAGTAGTTCTTTGTTGTATAGGTCTAATGGGTTTATTTATTGATATACGCACCGTAATTGTTTCTACTGTGATGTACAGTACTGTTTATTCACTATGTTTACGAGTGTATTAAATAAACACTGTATTTTACTTTATCAAACATTTTTCACTTTTCCCGTAACAATTACGATCCATTTTAGCTAAATTTTACATATTGTTATGTAAAAACAACAATATGTTCTGTAATCCGTACATCCCCTTGTTCCAATTAGTTCGGATTAAAGAGGTTCCTACTGTATTAACTTTTTAATTTATTCAAAAACTTTCTCTACTCTCTAAATAGTCTATTGTAATAAATTACATTCTCAAGTATTTCCTGTACAAATAATCCTATCATTTTATTCATTGACCAAACACAATACCAAACAGTGGAGATCAACTTACCTCAAAGGGTTTTAGTTTTCTTGGATTTATTGAATTTAATACATTAGAAAGTAATTAAAGGTTTTATTCTATGTATGATTTGAAAAATAGGCCTACTGATTACACTTTCATAAAAACAACACATTTATACAACTTTCTACAAATGTCTAATACAGTTGGTCAACCCCTTACGCTACGACTACACACTTGGCGACTTGGCCACAACGACTTTATTTATTTTACAGCCTGGCCACAGGAAAAGCCACACTTTAGCTACTTCTAGCTGTGTGATTGTTTTTTTAATGAGTAAGGAGTAACTATTTATTACATCAAAAAGAAAGAGGAATCGCTGATTTGGAGTGCATTCCCAATGTAATTTTCACTCCCTGACAACATTTAGGGATGATTTATTTTCAAATCACAAATTTTTTTCAGGATTTTCAGACAAACATAGCTTTGACGAGCTTAAAGACACATTGAAGATAACATCATGAAAAATACTTGATATTTCCCATTCACATTGTATTGGACATTTAATCCTTTAGGTTTACAACAAGGAGTTATATTTTCAATAAACATTAACACCAAGAACAGAAAACTTGGCTCCAAGCAAAAACATAGAAAATAAGTTATAGGTGTTAAGTTTTTGTTAAATAAAGTGTTAAGAAAAATATATGGTCCAGTAAATGAAAATGGCGAATGGAGAATTAGATGAAATCAAGAACTAAGGAACCTCCACCAACATCCATACTTGAAGCTATCATCAAAATCAAAAGCAGAAGAATAAGAAGGTACAGAAGTATTTGAAACCACTTGGACAAAACTAATAAAGACCAAGTGGAAAAAGACCTCAGGAGTAACTTGCGAGCAAGCCAAAGACCGAGAAGAATGTAGGCGCATTGTTGTGGAGATCCAAAAACCTACTTTGGTTTAAATGACCACAGCGGTAAGGTAAGGATTTCGTTAAGAATCATAGAGCTTGTTTATTTCATCAATGAAAATGTCTGAATTATTAAAAAAGCAAATTTTTTTACAACACATTACCCCTGGTCAAACCAAAACTGGCAGGATATATAGGCCTACATTAAAACAGTGCAAGAAGTCAGCATGTGAAAAAGCAACTTGTCGCTGGAGCCGTATGTTAACATTAGGGAGTGCATTTGTACCCGTGACCTGTTTTTATTCTTTGTCGCCAAGTCGTCTCGTGTGGTCGTAGCCTACATACAATACAAATTTAGGGAAAATGTAAAGAGATTCACTACTGAGCTTTTTTTATTTTACTATACATTTTTGTTTCTTGGAATAACTTCTTCATGAAAAATATATACAATACTAATTTTAAAACTGTATGTAACTATAAATATGTAAAAAGAAAAGAAAATAATACGGTGTTGGACACATTAGTGATTTTTGTCTGTGACACAGCTTGCTGGCATAACTTTTACATGAATATTTCAACACAAAGATTGATACATCTCAGAAATTACTTGAGATGTTGGGTTGAAATTTGTATTGCATATTCTTAAGTAGCCTAGTTATTTTCCCAATTACATCCATATTACTTTTGGAAATTAAATTAGGCTATATACTTTTAAAACAAGTTTGAATCTCATCTAATAGTAAAGTATGATTATTGCTCATAACTTCTTATCAAATAGAGGGGGGGATGCCTTTATTTCTACTAAAAGTTAGTAGATAAATGTATATTCTTATCTAAATATTTGGCCTACAAAATGACACATAAGGCTCACGTTATATCAATTTTTAAGACGGCCAAGTATTTTTTTTTAGTATTTATTCCCATAAACAAACAAAATATTCTATCCTTTTGATGTGAACCATAAAAAAATCATGCCAACTCCATTAATTCATATTAACATATCTTAAGTAGTGAATCTCTTTAATGGCCAAATGTTTAAAACTGAATTCAAACAATGATCAATTCATCGTCGTCATCCAGATTTATAGTTTCACTATTATTCTCACAACGATGTCTCTCCAGGGCCTGCTCAGATCTGAAGTTCTTGTTGCAGTCTAAACACGTGTGGAATGTCTGCCGAAGGTGCAAGCTCGTATGATGGTCGATGATGTCGTCAGTAAAATACTTATTACAATAAACGCACAATCTGAAACAAAGAGCCAGTAATTATACAGTGTTTTAACCAATATATCTCCCTACTTTAGACAGAGATATACAAATTGAAAAATACTAGGGATATCTTTAAAACTTGTAGGGAACTTGTTTGATAAAAATGGATTGAAAATGAATCAGGATAAAACTCAATTGGTTAGATACACCACAGTATAGACAAAATGTAAATGCTTTCACACAGCTTTCAATTAATAAAAATGTTAAATTTTTAGGCCAGTACATTGACAAGCATTTTGCGTGGGATAGGTGTGTTGAATATGTTTTGGGCAAACTCAACTCTGCTTGTTTCCAAATTTTATGTTTAAGGGATACAATAGACTTAAAAACTTCAGTGATGATGTGTTACGCTTATTTTTACTCCATACTTCAATATGGTATTGAATTTTGGGGCTACTCAACAGATATAAATAGAATTTTCAAAGTCCAAAAAAGGTTTTTGCGAATCATAACTTTTCACTATGGAAAGCTTCATGTAAACCAATTTATAAACACTTAAATATAATGACGGTTCCAAATTTGATTATTTATAAAACCTTGCTAACTGTACAATCCAACTATTCTCAATTTTGCAGCGGAAACTTTGAGCATTCTTATAATAAAAGATTCAAAAATAATTTTCAGTATCCTAGACACAATCTCAAACTTGTTGAAGAAACACCTTCCTACATGGGAAAATTCTTATTCTCACTTTTAATTTCTGACAACAGCTTGAGTTTCATAACAATGTTTGTTTCCCATGTTAATCTTATGGAGAAATACAAAACTTTATAGGGCCTCACTCTCTAATTATTTCCCTAAAAAGTTTCCTGCACAACTTCATGTTACGCTCTTTCCAATGACACCAAAAACATGTCAATCGGTTCAGTAGTTTCGGAGGAGTAATTGTCGTAAAAAACCTGCTTGCGTATTAAATAAGTATAGATATGTTCATAAACAAGCAAACTAGAACGGTTTCTTTTTTCCATGAAAATAACATGGGAATTTTAAATTTACAATTTTATAAATTTTCTCTGTAACCGTTGACATCAACAGCGCTTCAATATACTAAATTATTTCTTTTTCAAGCTCTACAAAATGGTTTGGAAAGAAATTGCAAAATTGCATGTTTTTTGGGTCAAAAATGTGGAAAAACCAATTTTTACCCCATAAAACCCCCCAATAAACACCCGTTCCCATGGCCCGATCATGCTGGTTTGCAAATTCATTTGAATAAATGTAGGTTTACATGTTGATACCAAATTTCATCAAAATCAGATTTTTTAAATATGAAAATTGATGTCAATGACGAAATTCTCAAACCCAACATAGTGGGGTGATTGGCCATCTTGAATTGGTTAAGACTTAAGTATATCTCCAAACATAACCGATCTTATCACATGGCATTTCTTTAACCACACATGATTTTCAAAGACTGTCTTAACTAGGGTGGTCTGCCGTTACACTTTAGACGCATAAATGAGCGAAGCATTATTTAAAGATTGTCAATGGCTAAAGCAGCTAACACCCTACAATATTCAACAGATTCACCGTTTGTTTGCCCGATATTATTTAAGTTCTAAAGGATGACAAATTTATCTGATAGTCCATACTGTACCTTTGTAGTGAAACTGGCAATCCTGACTATTTGCTTGTACTTTGTAAATGGGCATAGCAGGATGTACTCGTGCAATCAACATTTGTTCTACAATCGTCAGGTCAGTTAATTCGTTCGGGACACTTGACACATCCATATTATTTAACGCCGTGAATTTAGTTGCATTTGAACGACAACGCGAACAAATCAATGATTGGTTTGAAGCTGTTAGTTGTTGGCGATGACAGTTAGTGCAAGTATAAAATTGTAGTGCATCTAATTCATGTTGGAATTGATTAGCTAACTAACTATCATTATCAGCTTCTTCCGCCACTGCTTCATCTGGTTCTTCTTGTTCACGACGCCACTCTCTTACAATATTTTTGCATTATTGGTGCGACGACCAATATTACGACATGGTCTTTGACCCTTGCTCAAAACAAATATAGCAAAACTGTTACTTCCATTGATAAACTAACTTTAACCTAGGATGAAAGTAAACATTGAAATGTAAACAAAACCGTTACAAACAATTAACATATGTTTATCTTATTTAAATAAAACGAGATAAACCCATATGTCATAAACCCAATATATTTTTTCTTTCAACTTACATTAAAATAACAAGCGAAATTGCGTGACCCGTAAAATAAAATCCAAAAGGAAATTTGCAAATATTTTTTTACCAAAACATTGTGCTCAGTATTCTTTAGCTGTTGGCAAAATTTCATATCAATTGGTCAAGCCATTACATTCTGATGCTCTTACAAAGAAGTTACAAAGTGAGGGAAAGTGAGCTCCGCTCGCTTCGCTCAATAATACAGTACTACGGTAGACTAAATTGAAGGAGCTTACTTCTTCCCATTAATATTATTGAAATTCTCTTCGTTCGGTCTCTTCACCGGTGTGGGGGCTGCACGCTGGGGTGTAGCTGAAGCTTGAACAGACATAGGTTTGGGCACGACGGTTCTCCGTCTCGGAAGTGACTGGGGAGCAGGTACTGGAGCGACAACGGGAGCAACAACTGGTGTATCGACTGGGGCGACTACTGGGGCCACTACTGTGGGGTTTTGGTAAACTATCGGCTGCTCACTAACTGGATTCTGAGGCACCTGAGAATAACGGAAAATATAGTTTGATATAAGAACTTAACTTAAATTATGGTTACGGATGAATGCTTGGTTAGCTCTGTAATATGTAAATAGAAATAGAATAGTGTTGTTTCAAGGGAGTCTTAAGAAAAGAATTGAACACAATTTTATGCCTTATTTTGAGCATTATGGCATTGGTTTTGTATATTTACCTATATTCTAATTACATAGGTAATGGACAACTATTGCAATGCCGAGCGAGGCAATACAGCTAACACTGAAGAGCAAACCACAACTACAAAACTTTGGAAAAGTTTCAGTTTCGAGATTCGAAATTCTAAAGTTTTGAAATTGAAGATTTTTGCATTTATTTTTTAAACTGCTGACATCTTTTTGTGTCATTATTACTGTTTTTAACATTGTTTCCTCACAAACTCGTAGCAATATTGGTTCTTTATAAAAATTATGTTGTATTGTGTTTTAAGATTATCAGTCACGTATTTATGTTATGTTAGGATCAGGAGTCGATCTCTTTCAGTTTTGATTGCATACTTAACATTTCATTATCTATATATCTAATTCCGTAAGCCCAAAATTTTACAATGAAATTGTGAGCGAACGGAAGGTCGTAGAAAGCTGGGAGAGGTCTCATTTTAAAGGTCTGGGCATGAAATTTTGGGGAAAATTATTCATTTTTCTTAATCATGCACCAAAAGGTTGTTACGTAATAAAATAATTCACATTTAAATAGCATGGGAATCTAGGTCATGTCTGCTTTGTTTACCAACTTTAAAACATGTGGTTTAACTTTATTTAAATCATATGGTAATATGTACTGTACCGTACGGTGGGGCACACGGGAGGGACTAAGGCTAACATATCTTGTAGTGTCAGCGTTCACCGCTAGAACCGCTAAGTTAAAAAAATTTTTTTTTTATTTTTAGTTATAAAATTAACTTTTTAATTATAAAATATTGTTTTAAAACTATAAAATACATTTTTAATTTTTAAAATAAAACTGTCATAACATAACCTAACCAACCAGACTTGCTGATAATATAAAAATGTATAAGATAAAAATCTAATTAATGATTACTTATAATTTTTAATTAATTATAAAATTAATTTTAAAATTTAGTATTATAAAATTAAACTGTCATAACCTAACCTAACCTAACCAACCAAACTTGCTGATATGAAAAATTTGTTGACAAAAAGTTAGTGCTACCAGCGGGTTTCGAACCCGGGACCTCCTGCACATCAAATCGAATCGCTATTAACTTCGCTACGAACGCCGTTGAAAACACATCGTTTTGTTAGCCTAATCGTGTTGCCTCAAGAGTAGACATTAGCCACTAGAGATGTGACGTCACTACACCTTTAGCCTTAGTCCCTCCCGTGTGCCCATTCCTGTACCGTACTATAATATGTATAGACCTTTTCCCAATTTTAGGGTCTGGATTAGTCAATGGAGTACGATTGGTTGTGTTAGGTATGTCTGAAAAAAGTGTAAAGTTTGAAGTAATTTCTGAAGTAGGCAAAGGGAACATATTTTTCATGCCAAAAATTAAACTAATATCTACAGATCATAATATGCTGTTTAAGTTTACAAGGATTCAATTTCCATATAAATAAAGTGCAAGGCCAAACCTTCAAAAAAGTTGGCATTTATAAAAAAAAAACCATTGTTTACCCATGGTCATTTTTGTTGTTTTTAGCCCGGTAAAGCGGCCAGATGATGTTATACTACTTACTACTGTTAAAGTACTACTGTAGAACCAAATAAAGAACAAGGAATCGACCAAAATGGATACTATAGGTACAACAAATGTTTCCAGAGAGATTTTGTTATATAATTAGCATTTTAGAATTTGGAGGATGACATTATCCCTATGTGTTTTATCTAAGTGAATTTGATTATATTCAAAGAAATTTATATAAATTTCATTAATAGTCATGAAGATTATTATTAAACATGTACCTTAGTTGTAATATGATTTAGTTTGTATTGTAAACACACCGCATGAACAGTCCTTTGCAATTTTTATTTTAATCAGAGCAGACATCAAAATGCATTGCAGGTATGTATACATATTATAATATACAAAAATGTTCAACGATAATTCAAGGTAGGGTAACCCATGAAACTAATAATTTGTACAAAATAATTACTAGAATATATAGTATACAGGGTGATTGATATAAGTGTGCCAGCCGTTTTATTCGCAAACTATAAGAGATATCAAAAAAAGTTAAATGGTAAGTGCCTTGGATTTTTTATTTAAAAAATTGTAGTCAAGTCAAAAAAATTATTTTAGCCGCCATTTTTCCAATATGGCCGCCAACTTTGATTTTTCTTATGGAACATCCTGTATTTTATGATGTATTCTGGTAGAAAATGTGATTTTAAGACGATTTTATTCTTGTGATTTTTTTCATAAACCTAACCGTTTCAAAGATAATAATGGTTAAAGTTTTAAAATCTTTGCATGAGAAAGAGTTTCGATACAGGCCTAAGCAAGCATACCAGCTGTTTTATTCGAAAACCATTCAAAATTTCACAACTTAAACCATTATTATCTTTGAAACGGTTAGGTTTATGAAAAAATCACAAGAATAAAATCGTCTTAAAATTACATTTTCTACCAGAATACATCATAAAATACAGGGTGTTCCATAAGAAAAATCAAAGTTGGCGGCCATATTGGAAAAATGGCGGCTAAAATAATTTTTTCGACTTTACTACAATTTTTTTAATAAAAAGTCCAAGGCACTTACCATTTAACTTTTTTTGATATCTCTTATGGTTTTCGAATAAAACGGCTGGCACACTTATAGTCTGATTTTTACCGGAGTGCGGCTGGAGCTCAGCCCTACCTGCGAGGGACCCGACTCACGCACGCACACTCACCACCGTCCTAATTGCCTGAAAGCCCCGATCCCCTATTCACTAAGTAGAAATATACCATCTGTTGTATGATACCTCAAAATTGCAATTCATTTGATGTAAGATATACAGTAAAATGGTTAGTGTTAGTAAATTTGTTGTTTAATTCAATGAAAAATGAGTCCAAACACGAAATGATTATGACAAGTAGCTAGCTAATAAATGCGTGTTAAAATATTCGTAGCTTTTACACTTTGTAAGCAAAATATATATTGTTTGGTATCATTTTACTAAGCATTTTGAGCTGAAGTCAAAAATGTTACCAGATTTTATAACAAACGTAAAATTAAAAAAATTATAGTTTAATTTCCGTGAGCCAGCGATGACTCGCGCGGCAGGTCAATGGTCCGTACCACGTCCGTCCTAATCCCTTGCGTCTGTGTGTGTGAGGCCTGCGTGTGTGTGAGTAGGGTAGACCCTTCAGCCAGCCGCTTTCCGTCAACAATCACACTATATATCAATCACCCTGTATAGGGGCTATTGTCCCTACAAGCCACTAGTTACCTGTATTTTTGTAACCTTGGCCTTGGTAACCAGCTAAGTAAAAAGGTTTTACGTTTAGGTTTTGAGATTCGAGATTAGATTTAAAAGTTTTGGTTTCGGTTTTGAGATTCAAAATTTAGGGTTTTGTCCGTCACTATTCACAACCAATTTGGTTACAATTTTTAAATGATAACCGGATTTATTCTTAATACCTCTGTCTGATACCTCTTGTACGGTATATATTTTTTATCTTGTGAATATAGTAATTTTGAATTTGAATTGAAGAAAATGAGATGATAAGTGTAAAACAATTCAGAATATTGCAGTGAGTAATACTGCAAAAAAGGGAAAAAGTTGATAATCTCAGCTTTTTTATACCATTTGTGTTAACTACTGTAACCTTGACATACCTGGATCAACGCCTGAGGATATATTTCTTCAGCAGGGGCTGTTTGCTGTGTAGGGGTGGCTGTGGCGGGGGCTAGATACGTGACTGGTGTCAACACAGGTTCTATTGTCCCCGCTGTGGGGGCTTGTGGCACTACTTGGGCCTCCCTAGTGATCAAAACAGAAAACAAGCATTGACATTTAAAAATCTTTCCTCTCCAATGTTTATTTCCATTTTCCTCAGGTTATTCTTACTTAAATACTTAATCTGTGTCTATTTAAGGTACTAATCGATTTAGATCTAATTTCTACTGATCCATCTAAACTAAACTCAATCAATCTAAAGTCTTGCGTTGATATTTGGGGTATCATTTGCCATTTGACTGATCTGTGATTAACATTACTTGGACATGTCAGTTAAAATTATACTATAATAGATGTATTACAAATGTTCAGTGATTTAAAATGGGGATCTTAAGTATTAGTTGTAACAGTTGGTACAATCTTGTTCCTGACTTTTGCTTACTTCATAGACTTTTCCCGGAACTGTAATTACCACAACAGACAAATTCTGCAAGTCACAGTTAAGGTCGACATTAATAGCCGGGGTATTCTTGACAAACAGCTGTGAAGTGAATCTGTCCACATTTTTCACTAGTGTCAGGTTACACCCCACAAAGGAAAGTAGCATTTAACCAAACAGTGGTTTAACTATATAGCAACCCGAATGTTAGTTTAGAAAGGAGAATTACAGAAAGGAGTCTTTTAAACACTGGTTTGACTATCCTCTGCCACCGTGCTTGATAGTTCAGACCCCACCAAGGAAAGTGATATAAAAACACAATCGTTGACTATTGATTGAACTATACATTCCATCTTCGGGTTACTGTTTAGAGAACACAGGAAAAATGTTTAAGTTTTAAGCATATTAGGCTACCCCATTAACAATAGCCCAAAGTTGTTTTAGTAGTGTTATCAGAATTTATGTAGTTGAGTTAAACCAACTGACAAATTGTGCTAATGTAAATTACTGATTTCTGTCTATCACACCAACTTTTTTTACAAGTCAATCTGATAGCTTACAAATCACAACATATTAAAGTTACTGAGATAGTTTCCCTCACCTGTTGACACTGGTGGTTGGGGTCGAAATGTCCGGAGCTAAACAGATGACCGCCGACTCTCCAAAATTCACTGGGTAAGTCTCAGTCAGATCACGTAATCTATCCTCCACGCTGAGCCTGACATGGGTCTAAAATACAGCGACATTTGTATTATCTTTTTGTTGGAAAAAAGTTCCGGCGATTTATACCTGACATATTATCAGGGTATTTGTTGAACCATTTATTGAATGTAATAATTTTAAATCTTGTTAGGATCAATATGTGTAGGCTATTTCTAAAAATATATTTAAAATCAAATTTAACTTGTATCAACAAGCTAGGTCGAGAAACAAGAGCCAGGAAAATATGAGAATAAGAAAACAAACTAAGGTACTGTAGATGTGGCTTTTTAAACTATAGAAATTACTTTGAGTTGTTAAAACTTAATAGTAAGGTTTGACTTTTGTATATAGCTCTGTCAGCGGATGATAATAGTTCTTAAACACTGTGACTAGTGGCTGCACCTTAGGCTGATGAAACCACAATTATATTGGCTATACCTACATTGCTATACCTTGTTTATGGTTTAATATCTATGCTGTATCTTCAATGTGTTCACCATAATGATATTATCAGATAAACATACATTTTCCATACTAGGACACTACTTACAAGGAAAATCCTTCCCTCCAAGTTACAGCTGACCATTATCTACATCTACTGACACTTTCGAGGTGGAACCAATGAGAAGGAATGTTAAGGGGGTGTTCCCATGCAAGATGAAGGGCCATGCATTTATGCTATCCCATGCATTTATTAGCAACAATGTGTACAGCAAAATCTCTCAAAAGTACCCCATATACTTTCCTAAGCAGGCTTTGAAATTACGATGGTCTAATACAGTTTGGAAAAGAAGGGGTTTGCAGGACTTTAAATGACATATTTAAAGATTGAAAAAATTAAATAAATACCAAGATACTAAAAAAAATACCAACAGTTTTTAAAAGAGGTTATTTGTTGGTAGAATTTTTTTATAAAGGCGTTTTTTCTTAAAATTTAGTAAATGAAATGATAATAAACACCCTACAAAGGACAAATGAAGTGTTATCAATGCTCTGAGACAGTGGCCGTAAGCGTGTATTTTACAACTTTCTTTCTTTTACAGTAAGCTAGATTTTAAGCTGAATAGTGAATATGTACACAAGGTGAGTGTAGAATGGAGTGAGATGATATGTGTAAGCTTTGTTACCCTGAGAACAACATGAAATACTCATGAGAAGCCTCTGCTATGCCATCAAAATAATTTTAAAGCTGTGAAGTTAAAAATTATTGTTAAAAAGCAACTTTCCAATAGAATATTATGAAATATATATTTTTGTTATCTACTTATGTAAAATAATTTATGATAATTGTATACTCAACTATTTTTTTTGGCAGTGGGGCTTTTGTCTTACACCCCTGACACAGCCATGATTTATTAGGATTGTTCAACAGCTCATTGTACTTAAACATGGTCATTTGTACACATGTTGTATGGAACCACTTTTTACAAACACCTTCACATCCTACACCATAATCCTCTTCTCCTACTTCCTGACCGCAAACGCCACAACATGCGTCTTCATTACTGGGGCTTAAATTTTCCTAGAGGGAACGAAAATTAAAAAAAAATAAATAACCAAACATTAAGCTTTCCACAACATCTGTCATCCAAGAAAGATTACGTTCTGATTTTGATGGCTCATTCAGAAATGTGCCTAAGTTAGCTTGTTACGGTTTTCCTTTCTAACAGAATCCTTGCCTTACATACCAATTTAAGTTACTTTGGACCTGCCATCCTAAATAGTCCCAGACGATTTCATACAAAATATAGATAAAAAAAATGTAGAAATACCCAGATCTAGAATTGGGTCACTGAACATTAAAATGAATACGGCGACATATCCTACCTCAGTTTTAAGATAAGAGACAGACTCAGGGGTGTGTCTAGTGATCAGTATTTTTTTGTCTAACAACACATTATTTCTGCAGGTATTCAGTGTAAGATTGTGATTGCAGTTTAAATACAACAACACTGAACTAAACAAGAGCTGAAGAACCTCTTAAACAAGCCCTAGTCACACCAATAGCATACAGTTGGCACTCAATAATCCAACACTCATAAGTATTCTGAAACGGCACTAGATGAGTCATCAAAGTATGTAAGTAAAGTACAAGTATTTGATTTGTGTTGTGAGATGTGTCTTGGGACCTTCTGGTTGCTGTTTTTAGTTCAGTTTGCAGTTATGATGAAGAAATTGTACAAAAGGTTACATCTTATGTTGAAGACAACGTAGTTGAAAAGCAGTGAATATAAGACACAATATCACATGTGATACAGCAACAACAGTAGCATTTCAATTTGAAAAAAATCTAAAAATAGCTGTGATAGACAGTTTGAGGAAGAAAAAACTAAACACAACCTTTTACATTCTTACTTATACAGTACCAGAAGGCTTGGTTAAATTGTAATGCTTAATGTTATATTGGCCTGTATAGAAATAACTTGTTAATTATTTTAACTGCTAAAAAGAAGTGGGACACAGTTAAAGAAGAGGAAACACAAGACTCTTTTAATTATTATACTTATTTATAAAATATAGGAAGGTGTTATTTTATAATATGTGTTATGCCTGATTAAGTCTTACTTTATGAAGCATGCCCAACTAAGCTATTGGTATACGGATACAACTATTATTTGTATTTGTATATTAATTAATTTTGTAGTTTATGACCAAAATAAAAGCCAGAAAAGAGAGATCTGTGACCTCCTTCTATAAACAAAAGTGAAAAGAAGTAAAACAGACATTGTGTGCAATCCCTACTAATCTCACTAAATGGCATCAACTTCCACCCAAGCTGGACACCGTTTATTTAAGGTGGTCCCTCTAAACCAGTTTAGCAACACATTGGTAAGCTTAATATGGATTGCACATGTACGGGGTTTGAATCCGGCAATGCTAAACTTGTCAGTGCCAACACCTTAGCCTCCATGAGCTCACAGCTAGATTTGACAAACCACTTAGTGCCAACGCGTTTGTTGTACAGTTACCTCTCAGTAACGTACTACACCTGTGACTCACAAAATGGAAATTTATTCTGACACTTCGAAAAACTTAAAGAAAGATCCTAAAATGCTAAAAGGTTAGGAAATTTGCTACAAAACTGTTGTGTTTGAAACTGTTACTGCACTTCCCAAAAATTTGATGTCGAGACGCAGCTTGATTATAAAACAAAAAAATTTTCTGACTAGCCGGAACTAGACAGTCCAACTCAAACTAAGACTGTAGCCAAACTAAGCAACCTTGGGTCATGGAACCGGCTGGAAATTGGGGGGGGGGGGATAATGTCAGGCAACTCGGTAATATGGCATTTGGCCTTGACTCTCAAATCATTTGTCTATTAGAAAAAATGACTCGTTGTTTTATAGCCACATCTCTTACAGTATATTCGAAAGACAATTCTAGGACTTGAAATGGATTTCTTAGTTGCATACAATCATCTTAAAATTTTTTAGTAAGGAGCGTACTAATCCAAAAAGAGTTACCACATAATCTTTCATAAGAGCAATATTTTTACATTATTTTTTGGTAAGGTGTTTTACCACCATTGTACTATTTAAGCCCCATTTACTCGAGGCCAGTAGAGTAGGCAGGTAGCAAGGCAGGTTACATGCCTCTAATGTATTTCAAGTTAGCTGAGGCAAGTAACCTGCCCTCCAACTGGTATGGTGTAAACACAGCTTTAAATTTAATGAAACTGAAAAGTTAAGTTTATTGCCTATTGCCTAAAAAAAACCAACTGAGCAAATCACTTAAAAAGTCCACATATTTTCCAGAAACAAGATAGGTAAACTTATCTGAAAACTAAATTCTAACAACTGAAATAAAGTCAACACTCAAATGTCAATAACAAAGCTTCAACCACGACCTCAATTTAATGACAATAATAAATCAAACTTGTGTTTTCATGAAGGAACTAAAAGTATGTTTGTTTGGTCAACTTTGCGGAGGGCTGGGACAAAGTAAAATTTGAAAGCACACAATGTAAAATTTATTAAATATCATCAGTAAAGTCTGCCTAACATGCAACTATACTCACACAACATGCTTAAGCATCCACCACTCAATGTAGAAAACAACAATGCACAGTGGGACCTTGAAAGAAGATAAACTCCTGCATTGATCTGACAAAAATTGTTGGTGTTATACTTCTACTAAATGGTAGTAATTGTCATGGTTTTGAAGGGAAAATATTATTATTCCTAGGTATGTCTATTTTCAGATGAATCAGATGTATTAACCACCAAAAACAACCAAATTGTAATCTATAAAACACCAACTCAAGCCTAACAGGTAAGATATTCAAACTAGTATATAAATACTACATAGTGAACTAAGGGCTACTTTACACATTTTCTAATTTTCACAAATGCTAACATCACATACATAATTCCCCTGCCACAGCAAACCAGCAGACTGAGCCAATTTCCTTTTTTGTATGTTGACTAAAATATGTCATTAAAATTGTCACATTTATTCCCGATTTAAATAACATTAGATGCAACTAGTCCTAATTAGGTTTGCTGCTACAGGGAAGAAAGAAAAAATTGTTTTTTTATGAAAAATTTTAATAGTATGGTATAAAATCAATAAATTGGCCAAATTCGATCAAAATATATACATAAACAAGTACTCAAACTAGAGCAGTTTACTTTTTCCATAAGAAAAACATTGGAATTTTAAATGTACAATGTTTTGGAATTTTCTCCATAAACTTTAATCATACAACGGTTTATTGTACAAAATTATTTGTTTTTTAACTCTACATGATAGTTATAATAAATAATAATGAAGCTATGTATAATAGTTTGGCCAGCATATCTTAAAATATGCAAACCAACTGCTGTTCTTTATATAAGAAGGTTTCAACTGAATATTATAAGATCCCCGTGCGTAGAACGGGTACACAGCTAGTAATATATAAATTTCTAAGTTTAATGAATAGAAATTTGAAAAAAAACCTTTTTTGACAAATTTTAAAACCCAACATTCTGTTCCCATGACCCAATCTTGCTGGTTCATAAACTCATAAAAGTGTTCACCAAAAATGGATTAAAACTACTCAAGTTATCATGATCACAGACACACATAACAGTTTTAACAAATAAAATGTTTGGCAAATAGGGGCATCAAAATAGAAAAGTAAATCAGTCCCGGGTCTAGGTCTTACCGTGCCACCTGCGGTAATAGCTACTTCCCTACTGGGAAATTCGCAAAAGCTAAAAGAATCAAGGTAAATAAAAATAACCAAATCAATTTTGGACGACAGATGTTGAGAATATACACACATATACATGGAACAAACATAACAAATTATTAATAATGGACACTAAATTAAAACAAATAAATGCACAATAAAACAAGAATCACGAATCAACTCTTTAACCCTTTGAACCAGAGGACGAAGATTTTGTCTTCTTGGATTTATAATAAGCTATATAGAAGCAATTAGTGTATGTAACTATTCTGTGTGATAACTGATATTAAGAATGATACACTGTTATTTCTGTTTAACAATTAAATGAGGAAAAGGGGATAAAAGAGAGTGCAACATCACAAGCACATACATACTAGAACATAATCAAATAAACATCTAGATACATCAAAGATTTACAAAAAATCTACATCCATCTACAGTAACACATCTAAATACTAATGGCAAATATAACTACTAAAACGTTACATTTTTTAAACATCACACAGAAAAATAAAACTGGAAATTTTTTAATGAGACAAAAATACTAATTTACTTTGCATGTCAACAGAGCTATAAATAAATATTCTCATTAGGTGTGTTTCAAAATGTTTAACACCCAAAGACAAAAAAATATATTTAAGATGTAGTATGGTACTTTAAAGTCACTAAATACCACTTTTTTAAAGGTTGGCAGCTTCTTTTTATTTACAATTGTTCATCAACATGGACCGTAGGTCTGTCGAGTAAAGCAAGGGGTGAGTGAAAAAAATTAAATGTAGGCTACTGATAAACATTAGTGGCAGCACTGGGACGTGAGCTGTAACTACTGTTTTTGTTCGTAGCCCATCTACCGACTGAGCTACCAACTCCCCAAACTGTAACAAATCGAATCTGCAACTTTGAGCTGCATCTTCTTCCTTACAGAAAATGGTAGATTGGTTTTGCATTTTGATACCATCGATATTTTAAGAATTCAAATATCAAGGAGGGTTTAGTTTTGACTGTATACTCAATATTCTTGACGGTTAACTAAGGTTAACTATAAGGTTGAAGGTTATGGCAAGTATTCTGATTGGCCATTCAGCAAAATAATGTTTATTTCCCTTTTTCTCACCAAACAATTTAAGATCTTTTCTACTTATGTTATCCTTTCTCCCTCTCCATTTTTATTATTTTGCTTCTATACATATTTTTTATGTTTGTAATAAAACCTCAACAATTATTTTTTTTTTATTTTTAAAGGTGTGTACAGCTTGCTTAGCAGAGACGATTGGTATAACAAGTGAAACATTTAGAGACCAGTCTGTATCGATTATACTCCACCTCGGGCATCTCGGTAAGGCAGTTTGGTTTTTTTTTATATTGCCTTCATTGTAGGTTGTAAAATGTCATTTTTGTTGATGAAACTTGTTTGTTTGGTTGTAGTTTTGTTGTTTTATAATACTACATTTTTAATATTAAATTATTAAAACGTTCCCAGAGGCGCCAAAATATATACAGAGGCTTGTAAGCACACCGACCGACTACTGAGACCCAAGCATCAGCAACCCAAACTATGTTGCCAAAATCGGTAACAACTACCGTATTAGCATTATCTGTCTCCTCTTATACGTATATCCTCAATGGTAATGGAAAATTGCTGTTGGCAGTCTTTTTACATAGAAAATAAATACTATTGATGATTGCCAAAAGATTTGAGCCTAGGGATTCAGGACCAAAGTCCTACTCTCCAACTAGAAAAGTCGTGCTCATATTACATAGTGTTTTTAAATCATCTATTGATTTTTTGCTGTGGAACATGCCTGGCTGACATAAGTGCATCATCATGACCATTATAACATACTATTTGCAACATGCCGCTGAGCATATTCATTCAAATTCGTAAGTACAATATCAAAATGATTGCCATTGTTCTCTCCTAGTGGTCAAAAACAGCGTACTAAAAAATAAAGTAGCAAGTTAGGCCTAACTTACAACAGCATCAACCCAACTCTATAATCAGAACCTAATTGTTGATCACATTCTGTTTCAGGCTTGAATCACCAAATGGAACAAATTCTGAACAGTTTCTGAATAAAGTCTGAACCTTAACGGACTTCTCAGGCCTTAGTGTATAATAAATAAATAAATAAATCCTTCCACCAAGAGTGAACTTGCAAGTTGGCCTTAGTGCGAAAAAACAAAAGCACATTAAAATTAAGCTCTCTTCATTGCACACGGAGCAACATTTACTTCCTGTACCAAACCCATTCATTATTGTAAAATTATTATTGGGTTATTTTTGTTTCAGGGATATTTTAGAAGGATATGCCTAGCATTAGGTATTTATGTTACCACTAAACCTAGCCATAAATTTGAAGCACCAAATCCTGTAGATAACAGAATTAGTATTTACGAGATTATTTAGGGATGAAACACAGCAAAATTAAAACTTCACACCGTGCAGCTGTCAATACAAATTTAGAAAGAAGTTTTAGATTATCTAACCTGATTATTTTTGTCTCGCTCTCTCGACAAGGAATATAATTTCTTTTCAATTTTGGTCTGTGCCTCCTTACACTGCAAGTACATAGCCCAACATGTATCAAGTTTTGTTAGGCACGTAAGGCAAATCTGTTTTGGAAGGTTGTCGTCTTGCCGGACCTAAAACAAAAATGTGCAATACATGTAAAATACAAGTTAAACCACAATAAAAAAATTTAATCTAGAAGAAAACCTTAAAACATATGTAGTAAGTCTCTTTCAAATACTGAAATATTATATTAACTTTAATAATGAAGCTTAAAAATCAAATAAGAATAAATCTCTGCTATTATGTATCCTATACTAATACTCTAATATGAGCAATGTTTGCTTGTATGTTATGTATGCTTGCTTGCACAAAGATCTCAAAAACGGCTTTGACGATTTTCTTCAAATGTTGTAAATAGACTTAGTTTATTTCTGGCTTCTAAAAACAAGTTTACTGCAGTTATAACGGCCAACAAAAATCTTATTACGTAGAAAAATGAAACTAAAAGTCACATTATTTTTTTATCATTAGTCTTATGAGTTGCTAAGTAACCATGTAGGTTGAATTAAATAACTAGGAAAAAGTTAACAAAAGACTTGCAAGTTGTAGCATGTGTTCATAATAAGCCATCTACCAACAGTATACTAGTAAATTACAAAATACAGTACAAAAGGAAAAACATCACTTGTTACTATTAAGCAAAGATTAGGCCCTAGAGGACCTACTGAAGATTACTCGATACATTGTAGTAAAGGCTAGCAGTGCGGAGTGTGGGAACTGTTAAGACGAAGATTAAAGTAGGCTATCTGCAATCCTAAAATGCTATGGGAAGGGAGGGAAACAGGTCCGTGACATAGGAAGTGATAAAAGAAGTAGTAAAGGCGAGCTGTCCGGAGTGTGGGATCTGTTTATGACCATAAGATTAAGGTATCTGCAATCCTAAAATTCTATGAAAGGGGAGGGATGGAAACAGTTCCGCGACATAGGAAAAGGTGGAGGAATTAGTAAAGGTGAGCAGTGTGGAGTGTGGGAACTGGAAACTGTTTGTAGCAGTTAGATTAATGTATCTGCATTAATGAAATGCTATGAGAAGGGATGGAAACATGTCCACGACATAGGAAATGGTGAAAGAATTAGTAAAGGCTAGCAGTGTGGAGTATGAGAAATTTTTGCTATGCACAGTAGAGCTTTCTATAGGTCTATTTATTAATTTACAAAATTCCTTTGGCTATTAACTTAGCCCACATAGAAGTTATTTCTTAATAAAGATCATTCCTAACTTGTGTTTGATTTATGTCTGATGAGGTATTGCAGAGTGTGGGAACCGTTTGTGGCAGTTAGATTATTGTACCTTCAATCCTAAAATGCTATGGGAAAGGAGGGAAACAGGTCCACGACGTAGGGGGTGGTGAAGGAGGTAGTAAGGCTAGCGGTGCCGAGTGCAGGAATGGATTAATGTAGGTATCTGCAATACTAAGACTGCTTTCAGAGTTAACTAATGATTCTCCCCGAACAAAGCTCAATCCCCAAGTACTTTGATTTAATACAATAAACACTCACTCATCATAGGTTGAGTTTTAGTAACTGTCTTGATTAACTTAGGCCATGTGAAGGTTTTCATGTGGTTTTATGGGATGAATATGGATTTCTTGCATATTTTATATGAAAACGACCAAAGAATTCCAGATATTTTCTGTTCTCCATAATCATTAATGACATCAAGTTTTGTTTGCTGATGAAATAAAACTTTGTGGAAGTTACATCTACATCCATCAATGCCTTCGAGTCCTTCGGGAGGCTATTAATGTTTTCAGCTCGGTTTGCCCAAAGACATGACAGTAAATCCCATTATAAACTGGGGAAAGTTAAAATGCTATACTTCTTGAAGTAATCTCTGCAAGATTGGTGCTTGGGCAGTGAAAAAATTGTTCAAACTGCCCATTTTTGGAGTTTCAATAAAAGCTTTGTGTTAAACAAAAATTTAAACAATATCTTGTTGTAAATAAAATATTGTAAATTTATTTGTTTAAGTATTTATTTTCCGCTCAGGCTATGAAGACTGCCCCCGGACAATTACCCCCCCCCCCCCCAACCGGGTTCCTACGTCATGTTGATGTCAGAAGACCGGGGGGGGGGGGGGGGCGTTTTCCAGTCACGGAAACTAAAAAAGTTCTAAACTAACCTAACCAATCCAACCAAACTTTGTGTAACATTTCAAAATTCTGTTTTATATTTCCCATATGCCTTTTCTGTTATACAACGGAATTACTGTCCGACTGTCCGGAATAAACATTACAATTAGGCTACATAGCATTATTTTTCTAGGGGGGTAGTAGCATATTCCAGTTGCCAACACGGTTCCCATATTGGTTAGTTGGCAGATTTTGTGACGTCTTGTTTCACCTGGGGGGTGGTTTTCCGGGGGATAGGATTCCGCATCAACCTTAACACGTTCACTGCGTTGTATATTTTCCAGCATAGCATTATTCCAATGGTGCGTTGCGAGATCTATAGGTCTCGTCCGCTATGATTACCCAGGTGCGATACGAGACCCCGAGATTACGTTGCGCAGTAATCTTTTGCGCATCATAACCTTGTAAAGAAAGGCGAGAGAGCGCTGAGTGTTAGTTTATCTGAACCAGTACAATGTTGACAATCTTCAGCCAGCCCAGGAAGTAAATATGACGTCATTGTACGAGACCCCGAGATCTCGTACCGCACAGCTGTAATAGAGTTCATTATTTATTTGTATTTATTCTTTTCCTACAATAACAAACTAAGAAAAATATATGTTATCTGTTTATTTACAAACTCCTTATAATCGTAACTGTTATAAAAAAAAATATATTTTATCTTTCTTTAATAACTTTTTATATGAATGCGTTTCCTTACGGCTGATTTCAGGCTAAATAAAATACAAATAAAATATGTTTACAAATTACTGTATTTATTTCGTTATAATTTTGGGGTTGGGCTATGACCTCAAAATGAGTGCGTGCCAACAGTGAGTCGAGTGGGCGGGGGGAAGGGATGGGTGCAACCTTGAAGCTATATTTAGACTTGCACCACTTCCCTAAAGGGCTGGGAAAGGGATCCCAATCGCAAAACAAAAACCAATGATACAAAGTTGTTTATCGGAAATTGCTAGTCCGGTTTGACGATTATTTAGCATTGATTTTTGTATGATTTAGTAGGGACCAGGAGAAATATTCGAATTAATGTTTAAATGATTTGCTTTTTTACATCAAAATGCAACATTGCACAATCGTGATATTTTAACCTTTGCCTTTAATACGCATACGTTAGTGCTGTTTTAGAATAGAAACACGTCGATAGTTAAACAAGATTTATGTTCCCGTGGTTGAAAACGATAAATATGTAAACCTATAAAACATTAGATAACTCATAAAAATAACAGCATAAAAACACCATTATTCTTTCTCTTTGTTCTTGAATTATTTCTTTGGTTTCCTTCTTTCATCCAAGCATTCGACAAAGGTTACCATGGTTACTAATCACCCCATTAGCCTCATGTAGTAATTGGAACAACTATTTTTGATACAAGACCCAGGGGTCTCGTATCGTAATAAAGTAAAAGTTTATTACTTCAGTGCGCTACGAGATCTATTTATCTCGTTCATTTCATATTTACTAGTTGATACACCAAGAAAAATGCATTGTATATGTACAAGTTTCATTTCTTTACGATAACTGTATGCCAAAATATCGATGTCATAATTTTAGGAAAGAAGCCAAATTATGGGTCCTAAAATAGCCTAATTTATTGTGCGGAGCGAGCGAAGCTCTTATACGTCGACTCTTATGCATTTCATAATACGCAAACTCCACCTAGACGGCTGAATCAATCGTTTTAAATTTTGCATAGTGATAAAGACCATATCGGTGAGTGCAAACATCTATATGGCGCTAAAAAAGTCTCTCAGGAATCCACCCCACTGGGTCTCAAAGTTGGAAAGGAGGGAAACAGGTCCGGGATGTAAGAAGTGGCGAAGGAAGTAGTAAAGAAGAGTTGTCCGGAGTGTGGGATCTGTTTATGACGATTTGATTAAGGTATCTGCAATCCTAAAATGCTATGGGAAGGGAGGAAAATAGGTCCGCGACGAAGGAAGTTGTAAAGGAAGTAGTAAAGGCGAGCAGTCTGGAGTGTGGAAACTGTTTATGACGATAAGATTAAGGTATCTGCATTCCTAAAATTCTACAGGAAGGGAGGAAAACAGGTCCTCGACGTAGGAAGTGGTGAAGGAAGTAGTAAAGACGAGCAGTCTGGAGTGTAGAAACTGTTTATAACGATTAGATTTAGGTATCTGCATTCCTAAAATTCTACGGGAAGGGAGGAAAACAGGTCCATGACGTAGGAAGTGGTGAAGGAAGTAGTCAAGGCGAGCTGTCTGGAGTGTAGAAACTGTTTATAACGATTAGATTTAGGTATCTGCATTCCTAAAATTCTACGGGAAGGGAGGAAAAAAGGTCTGTGACGTAGGAAGTGGTGAAGGAAGTAGTCAAGGCGAGCTGTCCGGAGTGTGGGAACTGTTTATGACGTTTAGATTAAGGTATCTGCAATCCTAAAACACTATAGAAAGGGAGGGAAACAGGTCCGCGATGTAGGGAGTGGTGAAGGAAGTAGTAAATTCGAGTTGTCCGGACAGTGGGATCTGTTTATGACGATTAGGTTTGGGTAACTACAATCTTAAAATGCTATGGGAAGAGAGGGAAACAGATCCGCGACGTAGGAAGAGGTGAAAGAAGTAGTAAGGTGAGCAGTGTGGAGTGTGGGAACTGGAAACCATTTGTAGCAGTTTTAATGTATCTGCAATGCTAAAATGCTATGAGAAGGGATGCAAGCATGTCCACGGCATAGGAAATGGTGAAAGAAGTAGTAAAGGCTAGCAGTACGGAGTGTGGGAATGTTTGTGGCAATTAGATTAACGTATCTAAAATACTAAAATGCTATGGAAAGTGATGAATACAGGTCCACGACGTAGGAAGTGGCTTAGGAAGTAGTAAAGTATGAGCATCAGCATAGTGTGAGATCTGTCTGTGGCAGTTAGATTAAAGTATCTTCAATACTAAAATGCTATGAGAAGGGAAGGAAACAGGCCCCACGACGTAG